AATGCTATGTTGTAGGTTCAAAGGCATCTTCATCTGCCGAGGTTGAATAGTGCTGCGACCCTCGCAAAGGATGTAGTTCATGGTCTACTACACAAGCTGTTGCGTGATTTTCAAGTGAATTGAATTGTACGCTAGGCTGTTATCCAAATAAGGAGTTTTGGAGCTAGTGTTATCATCAGTTATATGTTTTTAACGAGTGTGTGCAAAGCTCTGTAGGCTGCTTATTTTACCGTGAGCTGTCATTTTACTGTTTACTATACAAGCATCACATCCAGGTAGTATCATTAGCTCTAATGCAACAGATGTGCATTATTGTTTAGTCTACCAACAGATGCTTGACTACTGAGAAGGCTGTTTTTGTTACAAAAATTACAACCAATGCTGTTTATTAAGGAGGTCTCCACTATTTTTATTGATAGTTGGTTCTCGTTGATGTGAATGTTATCGTCACTAAATGCCTAGTACAACATCCTATCCATCGATCGAGCTTCAGTACAAAGCAGTCTACCCACCAAGTGTTCTGAATGACCTGCGTGAAAACCTGCAAATATCCAGCTTAAGTTTTTCATCAATTATGGTCGCAGCTTCACTTTTTGATGAGCTGAATCTACGTTTTATTCAATCATAAGAAGTGAACTTGTTTACTACAATAGTGATTTCACTTTTGTGGTTTCAGTAACCTTCTTTGCATACTAGGCACAACACCTTGGTTAAAGTTGACACATTTTAAAACAGTATATGAAGAGTTGACAATGAAACAAATAACTGTGAAAACATTGAGGCGTAGAGAAAAACTGTTGTCCTATGTGTTTAAGACAAGTTGTAAGCGCATCTGCTTCTCAGCAATAGATATCGAACCGTTTTATTCAACTTAGCCAAGAAGCCTGCATTAAAAGTAATCATCCTCACTAATGAGGCAGTTTATTTTTATCAAACCAGTTTTCAGCCCAACAAAAGACGACCGAAACAAACAAAAAGAATCAATGTAGGATTTCGCATCAGTTCAAGTTTCCACACTTCACAGTATTACACAAAGAACCAGTGGATAGAAAAAGACTGATATCAGAGTAAACAAAGTTGTGTGAGAGAATAAACAATCTGAGGATAACAGTTAGTGCAATTACTCAAGCCTTAGATGTCAAGGAGTGAATGCATCTGCTCCACTGTGACTGATTTCCAGCCACCAGTCACCAGCTGTCCTCAGCTACTGGTTCCTTTCGTCTCAGTGACCCCGCCCGAGTAGCCTATACTGACCTATACAATTCGGAACAACAGTCAGACTGGTGCCACGTCTTGGTCTGGCCACGTTGAGCTCTCTTCCAATCTAGTCTAACTTTTCCTAACATGGCACGTCAAGATTCACAACCTCATCGGTAGACTTGCCTGTCTTGCCTAGTACCTTTCACTTGACCTCAACATTGCTCACATGGTGATTCCATCAAAGTCGAACAATTCTACGAAGATACCTGTGATTGAAACCCAGTAGCTACCTTGTGTCTTCTGCTTTTAACGGCCGTGTCTCACAGCTGCTTAACAGGACAGAACGAACGGCATTGCAGTATACTCGTCCTTAAATAAATAGAATATCTCGCCAGACGGACTTTATGTATCCAAGCTGAGATTTCGTTGATTGACAGTCGAGGTCTAGCTCATTATTCCAAGTTTTGGGATCTCAAATAGTAAGCGTAAATTTGAACAGCTAATTAGTATCACTAGCTCATATTCGTTGTGTCTCGTAGTATAACACAAACCTGTTTGTATCTATCAATTCGCACTATCAATTCCTTTATTAGGGGAAGAAGTAAGCGTTTGATCATAATGTTGATAAACTGAAGTAAACTAAGGAGTGGTTGCACTATGTGTCATTTAAAGTCTCAAGTTTTTAGTTTCGTATTGCATCTCATATTGACTGATTGCAATGCCCCACGTAAAAATTCAGTTACTAGATGAATTAGCTTCATTTTTGGACTCTACTGCTCTGAAATGTCTTCTTTCATACTTTTGCTCCAGCTAGCGGTCGTTTGGCATGTGTAACACGACTTGAACAATATCTGATTATCGCTTTAGCCAACATGTCAGTCTGTCATTGAATGAGGTAATTAAGAAGTATGCTGCCTTAATGAAGGCTTTTTATTTGACGAGTGATGGTTGTATCAGCGCTTATGTTGAACTATTCTGATTGAGATTGACCGTGTTTCCAGTCTTCTTTACTTTTATTTTTCTACACATTTCTGAATTCACTCTTCTCCTGATTCGAAGGAATCAAATTAGTAGCTGGGAATTCCTTAGTGAACATAGTGTACAAGAATGAGATGCTACTGATAAGGGATATACTTTTCTTTTATCCTTCAAATGGGAGATTCTACTTGGCGATTCATCTCTATCAATGCCTAGCTTATTAAAAGCAAACGTATGGCTTACAGGTTGCACCAGTCTAGGTTAGTGGTCGACGTCACCTGTGGTGCCACTGAAAAATTCAACTATCTATCAATGGATCAGTATACTGCTCTGCAGTCTGTTCTGTCCTGTTAAACAGCTGTTAGCTAGTGTTGTAATAGGGTTTTAATCCCAGACATGTTCGTAGCATTGCTCGCGTTTGGTGGAATCACCATATAAGCAATGTTGAGGTTAGGCGAAGGGTACTAGGCAAGACAAGGAAGTGGATTGATGAGGTTGTGGACCTTAGTCGACTGAGAAGGTTTGGACGTTCCACATGCCGAGCTACCGCCCACCCTGACGTGCCATGCTAGAGGGAGTTGGATTGGAAGTTGTAAGAAGATCCGTGGTGCCTTTCTACGAAGTCTCTCACTTCTGATCTTAGCCGTATATGGGGATGCAGGGTGCCTATCTGGGGTCTCCGAAACGATAGGAATCAGTATTCAAGGACTGCTGGTGACGTGGCTGAAAAGCAGTCACAGTGGCACGAATGTATTTACTCTTTGACATCTTCTAAAGCTTGAATATTTGCACTAGGCTTTACCTTCAAATTGCGTTCTTTCATTCAAATTTGTTTAATTTGGTATCAGTCTTTTTTTTATCCACCCGTTGTTTGTATACTGCTGCGAAGTGTGGAAACGTGAACCGATGCACTTGTGTACAAGATTACACGTTTATTTCGTCTGTCTGTCTATAAAAAGTCTTTTTAGCTTTTAACAACTCACGACATCTGTGACTCAGCTGAACCAAGCGGATGTCAATTAAAAATCACCCATACTGTATAGTAGCATGTCCTTCCACTACATGTCTGTGAGACATGGCCAATAAGGATGAAAGATAGATAAAAGTAGCATGTATTCCAAGGATCTCTTTATGTTTGATGGAGCCATCGAGTGAGTAATGCTGATGTTAGTGATAAAGTAACATGCCTAACCATCACACACCTCAACATAATGCTACCTCGATTGGGAATTGCAATAATGAAATCTTGGCCTGAGAAGGGAGGAAAGAAATATAATTCAGGAACCAAATCAGGGCTCATGGACTATTCTGTACATGAGGCACACCTATATTGCGACGGCTTGCAATGCTGCCTATCCAAACATCAGTAATCGAAGCAAGATTAGTTCATACTCATCTGCCTAGACTAGTGAACCACACAAAAATGAGTTGTCGAACCACTGATTTTAACCATGTAGGGAGTAAACTGTGGGTTTCTAACTAAGGCTTGCGAGATCTTTGGGATTAATTGACCAAAGACTAGGTAGACTAGAATACACAGATGCATCTAAGTCTTTTCATATTTTCAAAGATCTTCAACATTTTGTTGTTCTGTGTTTTATTTCCCGCTGCAATTTGTGTACTTCGTGTGACCACCATTGACGTTTGTTTTGCTTATGTTAGGCATTGCTATCCTCAAGTGATACATAATTTGCTGAATAACAGTAGTAATGCAACTCATCGAATTCGTGCTAATGACTGCCTGATTGTCCGGCCTGAAGTAAACTGACTGGCAGCTAGACGCATAGATCGTTGGCACACAGCTTTACGCAATTTAACTAGGCACTTGCCTGTTTTAATTCGGAGGTTTGTCGGGATTTATTGGTTGGTTTCGCGTTGATTTTCATCATGGACTGACTGACATCAGTTGGAGAAACAGGAAACCTATGGACTCCGGGCAGCCGTTTTTGCCTGGTGCGAGACTCCTCAGCAGTGCAACGTCGATCGTACTTAATGTCTTTTAGTCCTTCACAATACTTTCCTCTCTTACCTCAATTTCTAGGACCAAACCCTTACTCTTCTCATCGCTTTTGACGATGTAAATTGTGGTTGACATAATATATCATCAATGATGGATATTTGCTAGTAGTTGATTTTGAGACGTTCGTTTTGTCTTATATTTCGTTCACTAGTCAGCTGGATGTTGTTGTTCCGTGTAAGATTCGAAATCAGGGCTAATCATTCCAAACGTCGTAGCGTTATCCACTAAGCCTCTAACTCTCGATATCTAGGCCATATGCCAATAGTGGCCGATCTGTTTGGTCCAATCAAAATAAAGCTTTAAAAGCTGTAACACAAAGCACCACACAAAGAGTGGCTATTGTGACTCAGTCACCCGATGGATAACACTCGAATTTGAAATGGTTAGTTTTAGATTTGAGTATTAGTGCTGGCAACATCACTCATTTACGAGTGGGGCAGGTACATTCAACTGACTAATGAGTCGTAAACAGAACAGGATATACATCCTGGATCCCACTCCTAGCCACTACCCACCAGTAATATCAATACCATTAGTCATTTTGGTACAATCATCAATGGAGAATGTAAACAATAAATTTACCCAGGTATCTTTTGAAATCCGGTGAAGATTATGTAATTTTCAGCTCGGGTTCTGAGATAAAACTTTGATTAGTATTTTTAAAATCAATATTATTCTAATTATTGTCACGTTTCATTTCTTTATATTTGCCAGTTTGTATTCTAAACCTAATGCGTAATAATTTTTCTTTATAGGATGATATAAATATCGATTTCAATTGAACTAGTATAACGGTCGAAATATGAACATTCCTAAAAAGATCAGTATAATTGGTCAGTGTTTATTTATGTCTATCATTATGTTCATACGCAGTTGAGTTTGTATGTGAATTAAGGAATAAAAAGTGGCAATATGATATTTGATTTTGTTGTAAAGTGTTCTTGTTCGTGGATCTATAATCAGTTTGTTTCAAGCACCGGCGTTTTAACCACTGGTCTGGAATCCAGCTCCGTGTCTTTCGAATTCCTTAACCGAGTGATACCACTTTCCTTGCACCTCCTTCTGAAGAACATCTTTCGATAGCATTGTTTGAAGCCCTTGTATGTCTGCATCTCAATGGATGTAGGAAAACTTTAACACCAAGACCATTACGAGTGAAACTCGACAATGAAGAGGACTGAAGCCGCTTCAGTAAGGAACTGGCTTGACAGTTATTGGAATAAAACATCTCCAGTTGGCTGTAAAAGCAGCGTTGAGGACCTTAGCCGACTCTCGAACAGTGATTAAAAAGAACCAGTGTATATTAGCAGTTTCTTCTGAATTAATGGATGCACGCAAACTCATCCCTACAGGCCTCGAGTACATTGAGGAGCGAATTCAACTCAAACAGGTTGATAAAACTAGTCAACGCAACGACCGCAAACAGTGGTGCGCAGCGTAGGCTAAAGAGATAGGAAAGTCACCAGCGATATGTGAAAGTCAACTGTTATTTAGACCTATTAAGTAAACTGGAGCTCAAAGGTCATTGGTTATTGAGACGACTGGGGAGAAGGATGGGTCTGGGGAGACGACTTGAACGACGGGTGGAAGACTTCGAGAAACAGTTCAACTGCTCTTCCGCTACTATTGCGTTGCCCACTATCCAGTTGGACCCTCAATGAAACATCGAGATCTGATCCCCAACAGTTGCAGAAGTCGGGAAAGTTGTAGGCAGTCTGGAACGAGGAACACTAGCGCGGATAAAAAAAGGCTCGATTAGCTTTCACCAACTTACGCCATCTGTAGCGCTGCCACGATATCCGATTGCCTAATAACAGTCGATTGTACTGTACTGCAGTTCGTTTCGTGTGGCTGTGATACATAGCTATTAAAGGTAGAGAACATGAAAAGGCTTTTGCTGTTTGATTACGGTTTTCTTGCTCTGTCATTTAATGCTTCGTAACTCTACGAGTTTACCCTCCGCCAGATGCTTAAACACCACACTTATTGCACGCCAACAATCGTTGTCTTTTTTGACATTAAGGCTACCTTCGATTCATTGGACAGAGCTATACTCGAGGGGGCATGCCTGAGAAATTCTTTAAAATATTTAAATTCCTGTGTAATAACACCTCAGGCAGAGTGAGGGCATACAACCATCTGTCTCCATTATTCCAAACCAGTAGCGGGGTTAGGCAGGGTTGTCTGATTTCTCCATTCTTCTTTAACTTTGCTATCGATGAAATTCTTGAGATAACTTTGAAGAAGGTGCGTGATGGTGGTGTAGATCTGCTACCCGGAGAACTGCTATTCGACCTTGAATATGCGAACGATATCGTCTTACTGTGCGGTAGCACACAGGCTACTGAGGTCGCACCTGATCAGTTGGTGATTAGTATCCGTAACTATGGTATATGCTTTGGACCATTGAAGTGCGTGCGCTCACCTCTAGTGGTGAGCTGTTGGAAGTAGTCAAAAAGTTTTTCGTGTATCTGGGTAGTTGTGTGGGTGCTGGTGGAGGTCTGAGTGGTGAAATTTCAAACCACATGTCGAAAACCAGAGTGGGATATATCAGTCTGGTCATTTTGGCACTGTGGTGACGTTGGTCTGACCGTAAAAGGTTGGGTTTACAACACTTCTATGCGAGCATTTCTTCTCTACGCCTGTGAAACCTGGCCTCTCCGAGCTGAGGGTGTCCTCTGACTGTGTGTTCGATCATTGTTATCTCCGTAGGATTGCTTGTATCCGGTGGCAACACCATGTAAGTGTGAGGTACAACACCGTGTATTTGGGTATGATGGAGATCATCATTCGATAAGTGGGTTGGATATGTGTTACGCATATTGCTATAACGGCTTCCACTCCGTTCATTATTTGCTAACCCTGAGACTGGAAGGAAGAAACGGATGAGAGGTAGTCAGTGTATGAAGTGGCGCCGTTGGATGGAGGATAGTTGTATCGAGTTAGCATCTGTTAATGCATCACAACTCCATGGGCGGGCTCTGAGAGATCACACAATTCAATGGCTTGAGACGTTATCTATCACGTGTGGTTCAGAGTTTTTCAAGTTGCTGTTCCAATATGTAATATCAGTGAAGTGTATCTGAAAGCGTCCAGTTAATTATCTGATACTTTAATAATAATAAATGATAATAATAATAAATAATAAATAATAGTAATAATAATATAGGAAATACTTTTGAACCCTTGAAATATTCATTGTTATCCATCAGTATGACTATTTTTAGAAATATCAGTCCGAGAAGGTATATACAAGAGCATCTTAGAAACGAGCTTCAAATAGCATATATTTTCAGATATACTCAATTCATTTGAAGATGTAGACTACTTTTTATTCGTTTGTAAACTATTAGGTACAAAACCGGTGAACTGCTGTATTTTCAATTGCTTTAGCATTATTGTCACTAACTATCACCTTGTATACAACTTACAGACTTATTTAGTTGATTAACCAACGTTCAGATTACAGACAGCACTGATATATGAGATAATTAGTAGGTGTATATGTGTGATGAAGTGTTGTTACAATTCATTCAACTAGGAAATTATATGTCTAAATTATTATGCATTCCGCTTAACAAGACCTTAGAAAGCTGGAAATGTAAGGCTTATAAATGTTAATTCGAATAAAACATTAGTATTGTTTCAGATAATTCACTAAGATAATTTTGACTTATTGGAGGTGTTGGAAACAGGAAGTATGCAGATGATATTGTCCTACTGCTAGGTGAAGACTCTGACAAAATGTAGGATCTTCTGAAGGCGTTAAGCGGAAATCTGAGTATGTTTAGCATGCTCTCGACTGTATGACTGGTCTGCAAATATTCTCAGTTTAGTGATAGGCGGTGGAATGTATCGACTATTTAACTTACTTGTGGAGATTGCATCACCCTGAATATGATGGCTGCTGACGAAATCTCAGCTCAGATAGAGAAGGCCCATTTGGCATTTACCAAGTTGCGTCATCTATGGCACCAGTCGGCGAGATTTCCGACTATCAACCAAAGGACCAGTATACTGCGTTACGATCCGTTTTGTCCTGTTATATGGATATGAGACATAGCCTTTACAAGTAGAAGATATGAAGCGGTTACAGGGTTTTTATCACAGGTGTCTTTACAGTATTGTTCACGTTTGATGGAATTACCGCCATGTGAGCAATGTTGAGGTTAGATGGAGAGTACTAAGCAGGGAGGGCAAGTTGGTAAATGAGTGTGTGAACGTCCAGTGGTTGTGGTGTGGAGATGTGGACTACTTGGATGAGATTACCAGAATGTAAGGCATCAGAGGTTGAAGATTTTTGTTGACATGGCTGAAAATTGGTCACAATGGCGCAGATGTATTCATTTTTAACCTCGACTTGTCCTTCTCAGCTCTGGGATATTTTTCTACTCTAATTTTCGCTTCTTATGACATTACATAAGCGTGTATTCAGGATTTATGCTTAGTTTGCTTTATTCTCCGGTTTTTAGTAAAGCGTGGAGAAAATTTGGAATACACTTCTTCGCTCAAAAAAGGTAAGCTTTTTTGTTTTGCAATGCCAATATAAATACATTGTGGTACTTACACTTGCAATGCAGTTGTTTACACAAAAAAACCGAAATATAATCTGTGGTAATCTTTTATTTTGTCGGATATTTCTTAAGAAAAGTTTTGTGCGACCATGAAGCCTATAGGAAATCTGTTTGAAGGTCTGTCATACACAGCCTTTTCATGAGATTTGATTGTTTTGACGCTGGGCAAAGAAACTCATACCACCAGCACCCGGAAGTCTATGGAGAAAGGGCGAAGTGTGCTATTTTTAGAGTTGACTTTTCCTAACCCCCCCCGTCGTTGCCATTAGGGAAGTACTATCAGCGTGATACTCCTGGTTATCCAAGAAGGAACACCTTATCCAGCGAGTATTACGACTTCTCCCTTGGACCCCTATCGTAATTTAGCAATTTTTATACAATACTGGTAACATGTTTTCATCTTACCATTATTAAACAGACTTTTCTAGCATGATAGGATATGATAATTGTTACATGTATTCAAAGCGTTGCCCGGAACTATGTGTTATATATTAATGCGTCGATGCTTTTAACCTAACCATAATCAAAGTTTGGCCAATGGAATAAAACCTCACACTCTCAAGATGAATCAAAACGTAGTTGTTTTGATGTTATGGCTTGATCGGCTAATATTGTCATATTCACTCCTGTGTGGATGCTTGGATATTGCCAGTATTTTCAGGTTTGATATTACTGTTGGGTAGCGGCTAGCGGTGGAATTCACGACTTGCGTTTCGTTCTATTTGAGGCTCATTAGTCAACTGGACGTACTTGCCTCCTAGTGAGTGATGTTACTTCCTCTAAGACTAGTGCCGAAGACCAGTTGATTCAAATGGCAGAGCGTTATCAACTATGCCGTACTGAGTTACTATAGCCACTTCTTGACGAGTCCTAAATAACACGAAACGCGACAATAGTGATCGATCAGTTCGGTCTAATCACCGAACGAGATCTACACACCCCTGTCGCACAAGGAGTGGCTATAATAACTCACCGGCCTAATGGATGATTCCATGGTGCTAGATGAGATTGTTTCTGGGTTGAAGTCTTCGGAAGAACAACATCACATCCGGCTGATGAGTGCCAGGCAGGGTGAAACTCACGTCCTAGATTTTAATCCCAGCTATTGTACAAGTTTCTAGATTGCGTAAGAATGAACTTTGTTGTGCACTCGATGAAGTACCACGAGTTGTAGCTTTCCATAAAATCACAGTCTTTTAGAATATATAACCCATGTATCGAATGTACACAATGTTCAGTACTTGGATATCTCCAGTGCTGGAATTAATCCTAAAGATAAACGTATCACTGTCTGTTTCTTAATCATAAACTAAAAGAACATTAGCCTTCGCTGTCACCGTTTTTGGTGTTTAATTCAAATAAAAATGAATGATACAATCAACAGAGTTTTCTCAATTGTTATGAAATTACGTAGAAAAATTCATCTATTCCCTTATTTGAAATATATACCTATATATTCATACGTGTACATATATATGTATTGTTTGAAATCAGCCTCTAAAAATCGTCGATGGCGTGTTATCTTCCTGGGTGGAGAAGATAAGTTGGCCTCAGAATTTGTTGATGCAGAGAATGGATGTCCAACATGGGATTGTGAAGTAACCCTGTAAGTTATGGTGATTACACTTTAATTATTATTATTATTATGATTATAGTAAAGATGAATAGTAGCTAGTAGTGGAATCCAGGATGCTCATCCAGTTTTCAAACTTTGCTATTCAGAGCATTTCTACATTTCCTTAGTCGAATTTATGATAATTTTCTGAATGAATTGAAGCCAAAAAGGGGTTGTGTGGTGTCACTTTGCTGCTAGTTGGTGTTTTGTGAATTCTTTGAGCTAGATTAGCCAACATAGGTGTTGTAAACAATCTTTGCGATTGATTTTGTAGAGTATACTTGTCCAGTCTTCTTTTGGCAATAAAATCCTTCGACTTCCACAACATGGTTTGTGTACCACTTCAATCGGTTGATGGTTTCTGAAACACCTTTTATGTAAAGTAGAGTGAGGCGCCGTGTCTTCTGTTCTGCTAATAAACACTTTTTGACAAAGTTTACTGGATAATTTAGGTTTTTAAGATTCTGTCATATGTTTTGCCATTGTTGGCTTCCTCCTCTTCTATGAAGTGTTACAAATGTATCATTAATCTATCGAATCGAAACGGAGAAGAATAGAGCTAACAACAAGATTCCCTTAGGTATTTGGATCATAAGAACATACGATGCGCTAATCATACTACCTGGCTCGCTGCTCAAGTCTTGTTAGGTCGAGCTGGATTCGAATGCTTGACCAATTGTCTGGAAGCCAACTGTCTGGACAAAATGAACCCCGCCTCCATTAGATTTATGTACATGTTCAGTTATTGTCTATCGTGTATTAGTTTGTGTAAATTCAGTCAGTGCACAGTAAGTGCAGCCTCAACCTGTTTGCATTAAAAAACGAAGTTTTCTTCTCTGTTATGTCTAACAGAATTTATGTTATCTGTCAACCAAATAGGTCAGTAGTTGAGTCCCGTTCCACCTTTAGAGATTTCGATAGCCAGGCAGTATCATTAGTCTGTGCACAGCAGGTGTGGATCATTGCCTACTGCATGAATGTGCAGGTGGTAGCTGAGTACATTTCATTCGACCACCTATCAAAGGACGAGTATACTGTCTTGTTATACGGTTGTGAGATATTATGGCCGTTAAAAGACGACATGAAGGGATTACAGGTCCTTCATCACAGATGTCTTCGTAACATTGCTTGGATGTGGTGGAATCTCTGTGTGATCAGTATTGAGGTCAGGTGAAGGGTACTCGACAAGACAGGCAAGTTGATTAATGTGGTGTTGAACCGTCATCGACCATCACTTACCTCGACACACTATCCTAGAGAAAGTTGGTTTAGGGGTTGTAAGACAGTTCAGAATGGCCAGATGAAGACTTGACATCAGTCAATGAAGTCTCTGACTATTGGTTTCAGTCGTGTGGGAAGATGTATACTGCTTGGCTGGGGTCCCCGTGACTATAAGAATCAGTGATTGAGGACTGTCGGTGGAATGGCTGAAAATCAGTCACAATGGCACAGATCTATTCACTCTGTTTGACATCTAGGGCTTCGTTATCTTCAGACTATTTATTTTCTCTCACGTAAATTTGTCTACTTCGTTATATTACTTCTTACCGGATTCTTTATTATCTGTATCTTTGTAGAGATTTAGTTAGCCCATCAGATCCTGTTCTTTACGTGTAGTTGATGGAGATAATCATCATATAGGACAAGTGAATATCCCTTTGAATCAAATTCCACAAACTGGCAATCCTAATTTTGATCTATCTCTACTATATTACTCTGAATTGGAGCCAACACGAAAAAATTCTCATCCACATGGACGTTTAGTTTATTGGATTTGGGCTATTGACTATTGGCCACCAGGAACACAAACCAATGCTATACAACATTCTAAATCATTTCGTGGTTCACTTTCTCATCTTGGCTCAAAAATGCGTTCAAAGTGAGTTTACTTTTGGCGTGTGTGTATGAAGTTCAGTCTGGAGATTTTTTGAGGATTTGTGGATTTCAAGTTGATATTCATTCTGGACTGAGGTTCGTGAGTTTGATTCCTGGAAGGGTTCTGAGTGTGCACTACTGAGGAGTTCCGTACCAAGACGAAACAGCTATGTGGTACTTCCAATAGTTCTCTAACCTTCTTGTCATTCTGTGACGAATGAATACCAAATTAGGTCACTGTCTGGTACTTATGTATGATATGCTTCCAGATGAGATTTTCCGAAGTTCTAATGAAAAGTCGTAGGGCAGAACTATGTCGGACGTCAAGGCGAATACTCAACGATGGCATTGGATGAAGGTTTTGCCATATCGTGAATCGATAGGAGAAGGAAGCTATGGACTGTTGGATCCCGATTCAATGACTCAATGACGATATGTTCGCCGCGGTACCTGAAGGTTGTGGGTTCGACCCTGTTCGAGCGGGGTTTTGAGTGCGCGCTGCTGAGGAGTCATAAACTAAGACGAAACGGCTGTCCAATACTCTCGCCAACCAATGTCAGTCCATGATGAATACAAACCTGAGATTATTTTTAGTGCTTTCTATGAAGGTTAGGATACAAACGTAATGATATTTGTATAAACTTTAATCTACACTGTGTGTGTTGTTAATTGTGTTGTTAATTATAGATCTAAGCATAGATCGAAAAGTGGTTATGGTAATGGATATGCAGGAAGTGAATTAGGTGGTTCAACACTTCAAGTGCCTGGTATGTCTTATAATCCATTTGAAAATGATGGCAGTACAAGTGAATTCGGTGGTGGACCTATCGGTCTACCACCAATGTATCAATCGTCGAATGTTAACAGTCCGTATGCTCAGTCTGAATTCGGTGGATCAATTGCTGGCAGTACAAAATCAAGTAAGGCTTGTTCTTCTTGTGATAGTGGCTTGTATAATTTCCCGTTGTTGATTGGCTAGAATTAATATCGATCTCTCTTGGCTTATAGAGATTCCTATGCGGGTGCCTCGATATAACCTGTAATTTCCGTTTGGTAGTAATGATGGATAGTGGTTAACAATGGAATCCAAGATGTGCATTTCGTCTTGTTTGGAGAGGTTTCGTCACCTGGATGTACCTACTCTTTCCTTGGTGAGGGATGTTGTTCCCTGTGACACATGAACGCGGCACCGATCATTCACATATCTAAACTATACCTTTGGAGTAGGACCATATGCTTGGCAGGTTATCTGTTCCCAACTATCCATAAATATATCTGAAGATAGGGGGAGGGAGATATTAGTGATGCCACATCAATTTGATCTGCACCTGTCTCAGACATATGGAAAATTCTAGTACCCTTATCACAAGGACGGCTAGACGATTAGAACTATATAGATCATGTTTCAAGGTTATGGAGTTGGCTGTTGTGAATATGGACAATAAGTTGCGTAAATACTACTGTTTCTTCATCGTGTAAAAATTCCAATAAACAGACTAAAAGTGTATACATACTATTCAGGTGTATATGGATGTGCATTTCTTTTTTCAACGCTTTACACTTACCAAAAGTGTAACTCATCAACCATGTGCGGGGTCACGTGTACTAGGTAACATACATGACCTATCGCATGCAGTTGTGTGACATTGTTTGGCTGTCCAAACGCCAGTGGTTAGAGCGGGGCCTCGAATCGGTGTCTTAGTGGTTGGTAATCAACTGGTGATATCATTAGTGAATCACAGCTCATCTTAACGACGCTATACCGAATCTCACCATTTTCTTATTCTTCTTTTCTCTCCTTGAGTACTTTATATTTCCCTTGGCTGAATTTTCTCTTCCTCATCTTCCATCCATCCTTCCAGATTAACCTAGGACCAGACATTACTGCCTCACGGTCCAACTTGCCACACCTCATATCAGTACATCAAGTAAAAAGGCAGTCAGGCGCAAGATGAAGATAAGAGAATGCAGTCAAAAGAAACATAAAGTACGGGAAGAAAGGAATAAAGAATGACAAAATGGTGAGATTCAGTACAGCGTCGTTAATGTGAGGATAATGTGTGTGTGTGTGTGTATATACATCTGCGCCACTGACATCGGTTCTGAGCCATACCACCTAGAGTCTCCAACCACTGGTTCCTCTTGTCCCGTGGACCCCAACCACCTAATCTGCATCACCCCACATGGCTCAAACCAACAGTCAGAGACTTCATGCATTCATGCCATGTTTTAGTCTGACCACCTAGGGCCTTTTTCCACCCTGGACCTACTTCGGCCAACATTGTGTGACGAGGCAATCGGCGACTAGGCATACGTAATACGTGTCACAACCATCTCAGTCGATGAAGGTACATAACCTCGTCAACAGATTTACCTCTACTCCTAAAACTCCATACCTGACGTCTGCGTTACTCACGTGGTGTGGTGACACCACAGAATACGGCTTATACTACGAAGGCGACGGTGGTGAAACACCTGAAGCCAGTCTTCTCATGTCTTCCACCTTCAATGGCCATGTTTCACAGCCATATAGTAGAACAGACCTGACTGCTGTGCAGTACACGTGACCCTTAATAGACAATCAGATATGACGACGGCGCCATAGGTGGTGTGAGTTGGCACAAGCCAGCCGAGCCTTTTGTATCTGTACAGAGATTTCATCGGCCACTGAGCCACGAGGCAGGGCTGATCCTACTTCCCAGATAAGTGAAGTGGTCGACACACTCAATCACTACACTCTCTGTTGTTGGCCGTGGCACCGTTGAAGACCATTCCTGGAGCAACAATTTGTATTTGTGTGGTGAGCAATGCATCCCAAACATTCTCAAATTCCCACTCAAAGTGTTCAGAAGACTCTGCATGTTGTCAGTGTCTTCACCTAACAGGAATATGTCATCTGCATATTCTAGGTCTAACGGAAATTCTCCTGTGATCAGGTCAACGTCAGTGTAATGAGGTGACGAGAGGGAGACCTCCATAAGAATATCTATGATAAAATTGAATAAGAATGGAGACAGTGGCCACAGGTCATGGCTAGGACAAAACAACCATTCAGTGCTCCCAGATTTTTAATGGTTCCTCAACTGATGTCATTCCGTGATAAATACTACCTCAAAATTAAAAATCCTCATCCACCTCAAAAATCAATAAACAAACTCTGTGACGTTTTGTTCTGTTATCATCACCTTTACTGTTATCTTCCAATTCATGCACCCGAATTAATTTAACCATGTTGGTATCGAATGAAGACTATGCTGAATAATTTACCTAAATTATGTATTCGCTTCAAACTCTGTTTTCTTAATATGAGTACTACGTAATAATTCGAGTTATACCACATATTATTACCTTTCCGATTGTAATTTGTGGATGTGTAGCAATCGATGAGTGTTTATAGGTACTTGGATGTGCTGTTGTGTGAAATAGAGATGTCGATCATTTTTGGTTCATAAGCTTTGCCTGTATGTGCAGAACGCCCTGGATTCCAGTTTATTCCGTTTCTTTGAGTTCAGTCAGTTGAAGAGTATGACAAGCCTTCGCACTTCAAGCGTATCTCGTAGCTTAGTATGCATTCTACTGTGAAATTGTGGCTTAGTTTAGTTTGAAGAGTCGACTTTCAACCAGTCGTTTGAGCCTCCCAACACCGCCTGAAGTATGCAGCGTACCATCAAGACACACACGCATACACAAACACATAATAGGTGTGGTCCATTGAATACTGTACGAATGTGTACAAGGTTTCTGAGTGAGTTTTGTTCCCTGGATTGTACTCCACAAGAGTACTGCGTGAAGCTTCATTGTCAAATGTAGGCACTCAGTTTTGTCAGATTTGAAGAATCAAACTGTTTCTGTTTCATGTTATGTCGTTTTAGTGTATCGCAGTTTCATGAAGTGATGCTCTAGGAGTGGTCTGCAACTACTTCGAGCCATAATAATAGAAAATGAAGTGGTGGAATGTGTCGACCACTTCAATTACCTTGGAAGTTGCGTTAGTCCTAACAGGGTGGTTGGTAACGGAATCTCAGAAGACCTATTTGGTATTTGCCGTCTTGCATCACCTGTGGAGTCAGTGAGATATCTGACGCTGTTCTGCCGCAATCCGTCCTTTCCTGTTGTACAGCTGGAAACATGTCTGTTAAAAGTAGACGACATTAAGCAGTTGGTCACAGGTGTCTTCGCAGCATTGCTTACATCTAGTTGAATCACAGTGTTGGTAATGTTGATGTCAGGCTTAAGGTACTAGTCAAGACAGTCGATTGATGAGGTTGTGAGACTTAGTCGACTGAGATGACTTCTATATTTTCTGTGCATGCCAAGACATCACCTACCTCGATGCGCCATCCTAGGGGAAGCTGGATTAGGTTGTTAGAGGGTTCGGGGTCGCCAGACGAAAAAATTGCACCAGTCAGTGTAGTCTCTGTAGTCTTTTTGACATCTATTAAAGGTTGCATATTTACACTAACTTGATCTTCAAATTATGTTTTCTCACGCAGCTTTGTCTTCTTTGATTGAAGTCTTTTTGTACCCATCCGTTCTTTGTATACTACTGTAAAGTGTGTCTACTTGAGGTAATGCACCTGTGTGCGAGGTTCTATTTTGATTCAATCAGTTAGTCAATCAGTCGGCCAGTCAGTCGATTCCTGTGTTATTCTCATTTCGTAGATTATTCTGAGCTGGATTTTCTAGTTTTCTTGCGTCGCTTTTCTCAGTGCTAATGCACAGTTTGCTCTACTTAACCTGTTCAATGGTTCCTGCATCCACCGAGCCTAGTTCGGCTTATAAATGACCTACTGCCACATAAAGGTTTAGTCCTTTTTCCAATTATTTGAAAAAAATGATCCGTGGACCTGAGTTTTCCTGTTTGTTGGTCCTCATTGGCAATGTGTATATGTAATCTCTGGGTGACTGACGTCTCCTATGGGAATGTTACCTGCATCACCCAGCACTGCACAGTCAAAAACGCTACCACTGAGCTATTTAGTGCTTGCAGGTATGTCTCGTTGACGAGTGTCAACAAGCGCAAAAAATAGGTGAAACAGGGTGTTGTGTCGATTGACTTTAACCAGCTAACATGAATCAAAGTGCACTGTAATAGTGATGAGCCTCCTAGTTTGGTGGCCACATTATGCTGAATTATGGACAGAATTCTGTCAGCTCTCAGGACTAGACAACATGCGATTGGTTGCTTTGCAGTGACGCATCAATCTAACATTGTTTACATTGTTGATATACAAGTAATTCTGTATACTGTTGTACTTAATCTAATTGATCAAAATCTGACGAGTCCCCAATAGGACGAAACACGCATCCTGGATTCCTCTGCTAGCCATAACCAAGTAAATTATCACAATGAACGTTTAGGCAGTATCGAGGCATTTGCATAGAAAAACCCATATGTCAATAAAGACAAAGGTTGTACAAGAGGTGGTGCTATCGTGCCTCAGTGGCTTGGTGGATAATGCTTTAGCGTTTAAAGCGATGAACACATGGTTCAATTCTCATTAGTGACAACATCACCCTCTGGGATGCAGGTACATTCAGCTGGCGAGTCCCAAATAGGACGAAACGCGTGTCATGGATTCTTGTGCTGGCCACAACTATTGTATTATTGTTGTTTAAATTTGTTTTGTTATGTCTACTACTAATTTCGTTTTTTGTTTCTTTAACTTCCTGAACTCTCTTTTTATTAGCATACAAGCCTAGCATTTTAAATTAATGCATAAATTATATTCACATTGTCTGTCTATCGGTATTGTTACCATAGTGTTATTTTGTTTGTTCGTTTTCTACTCGATTTGCTTATCGTTTGTGTCGTGTAAAAGACTAATGTTTACGTCTTTTGTTTACATTTAAGCACAGAGTTCTGAAAAGTGCATACTTTGCCTTGTGAATGAATTAGTCCAATCTCTTTGTCATTTCATGTGTGTGTGTGTGTGTTTTATTAAACGGTATGTTGAAGTTGGGTACTAATCGTGACTTATTGAATTCTAATGAGAAGCTCTGACGTGTAAAGTCAAGGAATCGGAAGTGAGCTAGATGCCAACTAAACAGCTTAGTCGATAGTCTTACTATATCGTGTACTGAAAACTGAAGGTCCTGAGTTTAGTTCCTGGTGGGGTTATTAGTGCGTACTGCTGAAGGGCGCCACAGAACACAAGCCCTCCGACGAAAGTAGAAATCTTGAACGCCATAAAGTTGCTGAAAGCCGGTAAAGCAGCAGGACCAGATGGAATTCCGCCAGAAGCACGGAAAGCAGACGCAGAGACAACAGTGGGCATGCTCATACCACTGTTGCAGAAGGTTTGCATGGAAGGAAAGGTGCCTGCAGATTGGGAGAAGGGGTACGTTGTCAAACTCCCAAAGAAGGAAAAACCTAAGTGTTTGCAAGAACTGGCGTGGAATCGTGCTCCTGTCCACCCGAAGCAAACTATTAAGCCGTATCGTGCTGAAGGGACTTAGAAATGCTCTGGATTGAAAATTGCGACCGGAACAGGCTGGCTGGATTCAGGAAGAAGGATTCATGTGGGGATCAAATTGGAAGGCTGCGCTGTGCATTATCATAGAACAGAGCAGAGAATAGCAGTCAACTCTCAACTACAACTTCATCAATTTTGAAGAAGCCTTCGGTCGAGAAGTCGACCAAGAATTAATTCGGCAACTGCTTCAACACTACGGTTTAGTGTCACAAACCTCTATCAACCTCATTCAACAGCTATATAAGAACGCTACATACCAAGTGATTCACAATGAAAAGCTCAGTGACGACTTTGAAATGAAGACAGGAGTAAGACGAAACAAGGTTGCTGTCTACTATCACCAATGATCTTCCTGATTGTGGTTGACTGGACTGGATCATGCAAGAAACTGTGAGGAGCAAAAAGAGGGGCATACGTTGTCTGACCGATGAAAAGATCCTAAAAGATTTGGATTCCACCTATGATGATTTACGTCCAAGGTCGCACAAGCTCGAAGATGTACAGGCGGAAACTAGGAAGTTGGCATAAGAGGCAGGGCAGCGAAGGAAGACGGGACTTCCTTCAGGTGAACGTAGAGAAGACAGAGGTGATGGAGATACCCAACCAACAACACCAATCACCATGAACGGAAGAAATCTGAAGGAAGTTGTCTCCTCCACCTACCTAGTAGACAGCATTGTTTCAGTTAAAAGTGGTGGTGGCGGCACAGATGAGGATGTCAAAGGCAGGATCGGAAAGACAGCAAGACAGGCCTTCCTTCATTGATCTGAAACCAGTGTGGAGATCTTCTGCACTCAGTATAAAGAACAATATATGGATTTTCAACACTAATTCAGTCAAGTAAGTCGGTGCTTGTATGTGATTGTTGAGAGACCTGGTGCGTTACGAAAAGCATTTCTAACAAACTATAGACATTCATCAACAGGTGCCACCTACGCTCACTCAATAGTGAAGATCAGATGGCCAGAATAATAAGAATAAGCATAAGGAACTCTCGCTGGCTGGCAACGAACCAACCAAGAACCCATAGCCTACAAAGTATGCAGAAGGTGGAGATGTATTAGACATACACCGAGAAGACCATTCGGAAACATCACGCGTCAGACCAGGCCCTCGAGTAAAACTTAAAGGGGAAACGACGAGTTGGGCGTCCGAGGCGAGGGTGACATGGAGGAGATGGTGTGAGGAATAAATGAAAGCTTGTGGGCAGTCGTGGATCAGGTTTAAAAGACTACAGAGAAGAGAGTGAAATGGCGACGTGCTACTGAAGCCGTATGTTTCACTGGGAACCCAAAGGACAAATAATAAATAATAATACTGCTGAAGATTCGCATACTGCTAGGTTTTTGAATGATTGTTCGACTGAAATAAATAAAATTCTCACTCACCTGATTAATTCAAATGAAGTTGAAAGCTAAGAATAGTCAGATCACTTTTATCGGCCACATCTTTCAATTAAAAAGCAGTGGAGAACGGATCAAAGCGCAACATTCTCATCAGTATTGGTTTATCAAGACACAGGGCTTGATAACAAACGATAATAACATTGAAATGTAGAGGTGAACAGATTTTTAGCCCATTTATCTATACTACTTTTGATTGGTTTTCCCGGGAATTTCTTTCGTTTATTCCAGTCTTCTTGTGACCTTTTTCCTATGTGTAATTAAAGTTTTTTGTGCTATTATTATTATTATTATTATTATGGTTACTTATGTAATTACTTTGTGTTCTTTTTCTCTCACTCTATTCTCATAGATAAGCATAGAAATATAATAAAACGATTCAAGAGTAAACTTTCGCATAGTACTGTGAATTTAGCTGAAGCAGCGGCTAAAAAAAGCTGCGGGTAAAGATCCATACTTTCAAAATCTTGATAAAGGGTAAGTGTATCTTTCAATTTTTCAGTATTCCCTTATTCATTTTACCTTTATTGGAACTATTTCAAGTTGTTATTCATCGTAGACTGACATCAGTCGGAGGAACAAAGGAAACCTGGGAGCACTGGACAGCTGTTTCGTCCTAGTATGGGACTCCTCAGCAGTGCGCACCCACCACCCCACCGTCAGGGATCGAACCCGCGACCTTCAGGTTCCACGGCCAGCGCGTTACCATTGAACCACTGGGTCAGAATCCAATGCTCCATATTTCCAACTTCTGTTAGCTCACGATATAGCGCAACCGCCACCCAATGTCATCGCTGAGTATCTGTCCTCATGGCCATCAGGCTTGACTCCACCGGTCACTGTTTGATTTGTTTTTTAAGCACTATACGAAGTCTGATTGTTGTAAGTATACAACTCACCGCCTATATACAGGTTATATACTCTATTACCTGCCTAAAAGTCATATCTATTGTTGAAAGTACAGGATTTTAACGAATTCCTTGAAATGTGTGAAATATATACATCATGATATGAAAGAAGGAACAAGTAAGTATTTCGATGAAGAGTCTCTTCTCGGCGATTTCATTCTAAAAGCTGTGCAAACAATCACAAATTTATACATTTCTCCAGTGTAATGATTTGATAGTTAAAAACGGTTTATCAAGCATGACAGCCAACACAAATTGTAATCAATCATATGAGCTGTCATTAAAATCATAAGACGAAAACAACTGTAATGAGTAGTGAATATTAATCGAAATAAGTTTGAACAAGATGACGCTTCGTAATTGGAAAATGAATTGTGATCAGGTAAAGCATAGCAACAAGAATGAGTAGCAAATTACTCCAGAAGTGAATAGTGTTAACACAGAAAAATGAAAAGAAAAGGTGGGTGGAGTGGAGGACACTGAAAACTAAGAGCATGAAAAGAGAAAAGGTTGAATAATCTCCTTTTATGTACACAGTTCAGGTTTCTCTATATACACGACAAGAGCTTCCTTGATGCAGCGAATACTAAGAAGGTTTCTTTTCACTTTATAGATGAGTTTGAACAAGGAGGTTCTTGCAATAGCATGATTTGTGTTCACAATGTGTTCAATTATAGCACTTCTTATCGCTCCACTATTACCTCTCTGTAACTACACAGCATAGTGTTTGTCAACCCTTTTGGACTATAGTCGCATCCAACGACCTACATACCTGGCTCCACAAGAGCAAGTGAATTGATATATGCACATAGAGGTGGTCAAATGTGTAAGTTTCTTCTTTGATTTACTAGAAATCGTTGGGCAACAAGAGAATTCTAGCCTCAGCGTTGATGCAAAGAATGTTCTCCTTAGAGCGTTTGATATCCTCCTGTTTAGAGTGTTAGTGGCAGAATCATCTTTGAAGTTTAGATTCATACAGAATGTCTGTTTTGATACGGTGGTCAGGTACTCCTTGCGAAGTTTAGGCTTGATGTGTTTGTCTATGAAGCGTGATGGGAATCCGTCTTTTCAATCAGGATGTTCTTGAGAACAGAAACTTACTCTCCTAACACATTGGTACTGCAGATTCGTCTAATGCGAGTGGCAAGAAATATGTTCAGACTTCTCTTACAACTCACAGAGACCGAGCTATTAGAGTTCATCAGTTGACCATTCCATATTAGTATTGTGTCAATTGACTTGCTTAACGTTTCATCAGCTGTACTTGTCAGCTCTTTATCAAGAAAGTGAATTTTCGATCGATTTCGACCTCTAGAGTGAATCTAACTGCTGAATGGCGGTTATTGAACATTTGTAGAACATGGTTTGAATCATATTGCTGATTATAGATAATATTGAAGTATCGTTCATTTACCTTTTGTACTGTTGAAAACCTTCAGTCGTTAATTTCAAGGGTCCATTCTCCAAACTGGCCATAATTCAGTTTTCAATTATGTCGTCATGTTACGAAACATCTTCTTGATTAATATTCACTACTCATTACAGTTGTTTTCGTCTTATGATTTTAATGACAGCTCATATGATTGATTACAATTTGTGTTGGCTGTCATGCTTGATAAACCGTTTTTAACTATCATATCATTACACTGGAGAAATGTATAAATTTGTGATTGTTTGCACAGCTTTTAGAATGAAATCGCCGAGAAGAGACTCTTCATCGAGATACTTACTTGTTCCTTCTTTCAGTTTCTTGAAAGTCAAATGATACAGGAGTAAGTTCGAGTCCCTGTGTGAAAACCTCGTAAATTAAATGAAAGATGGTCTGTGACGTGTAATAGTGACTACTTATGAAACGTTTCTTGTTAACTTTGTGACATTAGCTTTTAAATGCTGACGAGTCAATGTTATTCTGAGTGTCCTTTCAACATGACAGGTTGTGGGTTTCGTGTCTATGATGATGATGATGATGGCGATTTGAAGTCAATTTCTTTAGGATATTGAAATAGAATGGTTGACAAATTACACGGTCCACCTTGACATTTCTCATAGTTGAGTAGTTCGCCAACTGCCATTCAAATGTGATGCTAGCCAACAGAGTTTCCATTGAAAACCAACTACCAGCGAAGGTCGCAAGGTGTGTGTGTTTATGATCTGTGACACAAAGGTGTCATGAAACTGGGGAAAGATACTATTACTGACCAACTTGAGGAGTTAGAAACCAATCAAGCTGATATGTAGGTTTTGTCAGGGAGCCAGACACATCAAAATGATTTAAACACCGTACTGGACAGTTATTTTACTCGTTTAGGACGACTCTGCTTATCAACCGTGTTCCCGGACAATTTAAGCTCACAAAGCCGCAAATTAGTGTTCATATCGCCTGAATCTATCTGGCCAACTCACACCTACAGGAATAACTAAATAAGAATTGGAACAAATTCAACCGTTGTCTCATCTTAGGGTGACTAGAATGTACTTCATGTAGATTGGGTTGAATCGTCTTCGTCAGCATTCAGTAAATAGGTTTGATAGGAAGGTTACTCATGACTGTTATGGAGGAATCCTTGGTACAGCATGTTTCTAGGAGGTACACATTTGAGATTGTTTACTGTTGGATTCAGTATTCATATATGACTGTGATCACGTTATTGGCTTCTTTATCATCTCTCCCCTTGCTTGTAGTGACCATAACCTAGGTTCAACCTCATCCGAATGCATAGTGTATATGAATTACAGCTATCAGAATATTAAGTACATCTACAGGCTGGTTAATTGATCGTAACTTACCTATTGGTAGTGAATAATACAAGTCCAGACCAGAATAAGCTTCGTTCCGTCTCTAATCTGCTGTAAAAACAGCATTGAAGACCTTAGCCGATTGTCAAAGAGTGGTTAAAAAGAGCTAGTGGATATTAACACCTTTTTCTGAATTAAGGGGCGCACGCGTACTCACCCCTACAGGCTCTGAGTACAATGAAGAGCAAACGCAACTCATATATAGACTGACAAAACTAGTTTACGCAATGACGGCGAACAGTGGTGGTCAGCGAAAGCTAAAGAGATGGAAAAGGCAACGTCGATAGGTCACGTTCGCAGTTGTTTAGACTTATTAAGTAAACTAAGGTGAAAAGGTCAACGGTTAGTGAAACTGTAGCGGAGAAGGATGGGTCCGCTGGGAGATGACTAGAACAATGATTGAAATACTTCGAGGAACTGTTCAGCTGGCCTCCTGCTGCTATTTTGTTGCATGCTATACAATCGGATCCTGAGAACGACATTGAGATAAGCCAAGAAAGCGGTAGGTAACAGGGAAAGGCAGCAGGTCCAGAGGGAGAAGCTCCTGAGGTATGTAACGATGGTGGTAGAGTGATTTTAGTCAACTGAAGGAACAACTAGTCTACAGGAATCAAATATCTCTTCTGACTGGTCTCAATCGCCGATTATACCAGTCTTCAAGAAAGGCAAGAAGTCCTCTTATGATTACCTCAGATGGATCAGCCTGACGAACATAGTGTCTAAAATTCTTTGTTCTATAATCATTCGACGCCTGGGTGGGACTCGTGAACAGGAAGTCCGAGGAAACCAGACAGGGTTCAGACCTGGTCGTGAGTGTCGATCAAGTATTCACGCTCCACCAGGTTCTGGAACACAGGGCGGCTTGCCAATACCCGACAATACTTGTATTTAGTATCCTGAAGGCGGCATTTAACTCCGTGCATCGAGAAGTCTTATGACAATGTCTCATTGAAAAGGGTATGGAGTGAGTATGTGACTTTATTGGAGACTTTACTGGAACACCTGTGGGCGTGTTAGAGTGTATGGTGTGATATCGGGTGAGTTGTGTACGTCGAGTGGTGTTTGTCAAGGATGCCCACTCTCTCCATTCCTGTTCATTTTTATCATAGACTTTCTTATGGAGGTCTCCCTCTCGTCACCTGATTATACAGGTATTGACCTGATCACATGAGAATTTAAGGTAGACCTGGAATACGCATATGGCATAGTGCTGTTAGGTGAAGACGCTGACAAGATGCAGAGTCTTCGGGACACATTGAGTGGCAATTTGAGAATGTTTTGGATGCGTTTCTCACCACACAAATGCAAATTGTTGCTCCAGGACTGGTCTTCAACGGTGTGCTGGTCACTGGTGGTGGCTGACGAAATCTCTACACGGATGCAAAAGGTTTTGTTGACTTATGGAAACTTACGCCACATGTGTCACCGCCACGATATCCAGTCGTCTATTAAGAGTCGAGTGTACTGTGGCGCAGTCCGCTCTGTTATGCTCTATGACTGTGAAATATGGCAATTAAAAGTAGAAGATATGAGAAGGCTTCAGGTGTTTGACCACCGTTGCCTTCGTAGCATAGGTCGTATTTCATGGTGTCACTGTATGAGAAACGCAGAGGTGAAATGTAGAGTTTTATGGAGGAGACGTAAGACAGTTGATGGTGTTGTAGACCTTCATTGACTGGGATGGCTGGTTGGGAAATGTGTTACATATGCCTTGTCGCCGTCTGCCTCGTCACATAATGTTGGCCAAAGTGGGCTCAGTCTGGAAAAGGGCCCAGTGTGGCCAGACTAAAGCATGGGATCAATACATGAAGTGTTCGACTGTTGGTTTGACCCATGTAGTTCGATGCAGAGTAGCCGTTTGGGTTCCACGGGACAAGAGAAACCAGTGGTTTTGAAGACTCTGTGTGATATGTCTCATAACCGATGTCAGTGACGCAAATGTATGCATGTATATTATCGTCATCTTAACCACTATATCTTATCTCATCAATTTCAGTTATTAAAGATCGAGGTGTTCCATCATGTATAACAACGGTAAATAACAAGTATCATAGAACAACAACTGATACCCGTGGCTATCCATGCCCCATTGGGCTATGGGCCTATAGTGTTTAAAGCGTTGGACACTGAGTTCAAGTTTCCTCAAATGCGAACAGAATTACTCTGCACTAGGGGGGGGGGGGAGTACAAGTACATTCAACTGATAAGGGCAGTCTAAAGTGAAACGAAAAACATTCTAGATTCCACTGCTTGCTAGCCACTAAGATCAACAGAAGTCAGTCATTTTGTTCATAAGTGTATTAAAGTAATTATTCATTATGAATCAAGTTTGTATCACTACTATTCTTAGACTTCTTTTACATCTCAGAATTTTTAAATTATCATCTTACCGTCTAATTAGCAGACTCATTCATTAATATTACCAACTAAATTTATAAAACAGTATGATATATTTTCTCTTCTTGTAGATATAAAGTCTGATAACTTTTCTATGAGGTATTAATTTAAAAACATTCCACAGTATTAAAGTCTGTTGTCTAATCATATTCTTCTGCTTTTGCTTTATTGTGTATGACTTCCAGTTCAAAATCGAACCTAAGAGGGTAAGTCTTTCTGACCTTGATTATTTAAACATTTTTTGATACGAATATATATAAGATATCTTTTCTATGTTTTGTTCTAGAACTAATGATGGTCATAATACTAATACTAATGTATGTGTATATATACATAGGTCGCACTGTATTACTTACAGTACAACAGAAATACCATTAATTGAAAGCATGAAACCAATCCGTTAAGTCATTGACATTAATAGTTAGAAAAGAAAAAGCTTAAGGTGTTCAGTTAGCGTTACCTTTGTAGCGAAGGTTTAGGAACACAGACACGCTTACCGAGGTCCAACACTAGCTGTATTTCTCGACCTGAAGGCAGCACCATTCGACACCGTTGATTGAGAAGTCTTATAGCAATACCTCTCACTTAGAGGTGTGCCGAGTAACTACATCACCTTATTGAAGACTCTCTACTCGAACACTTGTGGACGTGTTAGAGCCTATGGTGAGATGTCTAGGGAGCTATACTCATCGAGTGGTGTCCGTCAAAGATGCCCACTGTCTTCATTCTTATTCAATTTTATCATAGATATTCTTATGGAGGTCTCCCTCTCGTCACCTCATTACACTGACGTTGACCTGATCACAGGAGAATTTCCGTTAGACCTAGAATATGCAGATGACATAGTCCTGTTAGGTGAAGACACTGACAACATGCAGAGTCTTCTGAACACTTTGAGTGGGAATTTGAGAATGTTTGGGATGCATTGCTCACCACACAAATACAAATTGTTGCTCCAGGAATGGTCTTCAACGGTGCCACGGCCAACAATAGAGAGTGTAGTGATTGAGTGTGTCGACCACTTCACTTATCTGGGAAGTAGGATCAGCCCTGCCTCGTGGCTCAGTGGCCGATGAAATCTCTGTACAGATACAAAAGGCTCGGCTGGCTTGTGCCAACTCACACCACCTATGGCGCCGTCGTCATATCTGATTGTCTATTAAGGGTCACGTGTACTGCACAGCAGTCAGGTCTGTTCTACTATATGGCTGTGAAACATGGCCATTGAAGGTGGAAGACATGAGAAGACTGGCTTCAGGTGTTTCACCACCGTCGCCTTCGTAGTATAAGCCGTATTCTGTGGTGTCACCACACCACGTGAGTAACGCAGACGTCAGGTATGGAGTTTTAGGGAGTAGAGGTAAATCTGTTGACGAGGTTATGTACCTTCATCGACTGAGATGGTTGCGACACGTATTACGTATGCCTAGTCGCCGATTGCCTCGTCACACAATGTTGGCCGAAGTAGGTCCAGGGTGGAAAAAGGCCCTAGGTGGTCAGACTAAAACATGGCATGAATGCATGAAGTCTCTGACTGTTGGTTTGAGCCATGTGGGGTGATGCAGATTAGGTGGTTGGGGTCCACGGGACAAGAGGAACCAGTGGTTGGAGACTCTAGGTGGTATGGCTCAGAACCGATGTCAGTGGCGCAGATGTATATACACACACACACACACACATTATCCTCACATTAACGACGCTGTACTGAATCTCACCATTTTGTCATTCTTTATTCCTTTCTTCCCGTACTTTATGTTTCTTTTGACTGCATTCTCTTATCTTCATCTTGCGCCTGACTGCCTTTTTACTTGATGTACTGATATGAGGTGTGGCAAGTTGGACCGTGAGGCAGTAATGCCTGATCCTAGGTTGATCTGAATGGATCGTGGGTCGGAACCCTGCCCTACCTTTCACCGCTTGGGCAACTGGATAGTATCATTAGTCTTCAGATCATTGGTGTGGGTGATTGTTTGCTACCAGGAAATACGCTAATTTATTGAGTTGTATTACATTAGCTTCATTATAGTTTTTATCACGGACTGACATAAGTTGGTGAGCCATCAAAAACAGGAAAGCTACTTTGTCCTGCAATGTGACTCCTCAGCAGTGTGTTTAGTAATAGAGACAATGAGTAAACTGTTTTTCAACTGCAAATCAACTGTGATGTCAACAAGGTTTTCGGTGAAAACCACTTATCAGCTAAGATCACAAGGTGTAAACTGCGACATAAAGTCTCATGAACCTGCGGTAGATACTACTAGGGAACAAATTAAGTAGTAATTAGACCACTTTGGTTGATCTATAAATTTCCTCGACATTGATGTGATCTGAACAGTTATTTACGACTTTATGGGCTGAATTGCTCGGAAACATCGCTAATAAGCTAACTAGGTGCCAAAGGAGCTAAGCGGCTGCCCAATGTTTAGACAGATTACTCCGATCTGTCTGACTGGCGAAGTTTGGACATCATTCGAAGTGGTTCACAACTACTACTCAGGTTGTTCAGTAGTAGTATCCTTCGCGAAATTGTATATTTCATCTTTTTCTCGATTTTCTTACCCTTAATTAATTCGTTTTCCTATTTTAGAAGTCAATTGTCTATTGGTGGGACATCTTATCGAGGTTGGTTTAAAAAAATATTTTTATTTACTTCACGATTTTCAGTCGCCTGTGATATTTTGTAATCAGAAACGATGTCACCTAGAGGATAGTCTGGAACTAGTGGCTCACAGTGGAATGCAGGACGCGCGTTTCGTTCTACTCGGTACTCACTAGTCAGCTGGATGTATCTGCCTCTCAGTGAGTGGATATTGTTCCCAATAAGACTGCAACCCAGTACGGATTGCTTCAATCGCCAGCGTGTCATCAAGTAGGCGACTTAGTCACTGAGTGATGTATGAGTCTTCGCTGTTGATTGGACCGAATCGATTGGTGTCTCTTGGCATATGAGTCACTGCGTAGACGTTTCGATATTGCCGTTAGTTTCAGTTTGGAACCCAGGGCGTACGAATCCTCCTTTTGAGTGTCTTCAGCTTGATATATCAGCCTTCCAGCAAAGAAGCCCATATACCAATAGAGACTGATCAACTTGATCTAACCAACGCCGCGAAATGAACACGCAATAGCATAAATATCTGAAGTTGTCAGAATATTTTGTTGGAATTCAGGCTGTTGTTGGGCTGTGGCTAATTAGTTTAGGGGTTAACTTTCAACCACTTGGTTGCATCTCTTAACGCCTGTCCACTCGTGGTTTTGGAAGCCAAATCCTAATATCATTCACTGTCAGAAGTTAGGTGTGCTGCCTATTGCACTGATGTGCACAAAGTTTCCGAGTGTTCTCGAATTCGATTTGAAGAAAAGACGACAGTCTAATTATAATGGTCAGAGATTATTTTTTATTCCATTTCAGGTATTAGGATTGAAGTGTTTTACATGGTAATAACAATGCAACTATATTGGTGGATGCCTAATCATATTTGTGTTTCATGATTATAGTTTATAGAAGTGAGTACACACCAGTGCTTTAGCAATATTTATGTATGTATGCACACGATACACTGAATTCCATCGAGAAGTCAGGAATCGTCAACCTACAAAAATGGCATGGATGGTTATGCCTTAGGTGTAAAGAAAGCGATATCTAACAGAAGTTTAGCTATCTTCCTTTATAGGCAGTTCTTCACAACGTCTTAAGTCATTCTGTCACTACAGATTTCAGTTGTGTGTGTGTATGAGAGAGAGAGAGAGAGATCCTTATTAAACCATGTTACTTCATTGAAGTACTAATTATGTGATGCTGCTACTGGATATGTACTAGTCTTAGTCAGAGATAATTATTACAAAATACACAGAGAGTAAGGCAAATGAACCTTTCCTAATTGCATTCACTGTCAACTAAATATTGTAATTTGTTGATGATAATTCCTATGATAGGTCTGAAATCCGTTGATGATCTATTAAAAACCTCCAAGTACACTGGACAGCTGTTTCATCATAGTATGGAACCATTCATCAGTATGCACTCAACACACTACCAGGAATCGAGCTCATGACATTCTGGTCTCATGATGAATGCGTTAACTATCCAGCCACTTTTCTATGAGATCAACTTACGACCTTGTCTGATAGTTGCGCTATATCACGAATTGGCAGAGGTGAGGAACTGTGAACCGTTGGACCGTGACCCAGTGACTGAACAGCTAACGCGTTTGCCATGAAACTTGAAGGTCCTGCGTTCGATCTCTTGTGGTGTCGTGGCTGCTTACTGCCGGTGAAGAGTCCCATACTGCAATGAAACAGCTAGCTGTCCAGTGCTCCCAAGTTTTGACTAGGAAAATATGAAAATCCTGGATATAGGATATATAAAAAATGGCAGAGAAGTTTTAGAAGCTTGGTGTATTCAGGTCAGTCAGCAGTCAACAGATGTATTAACACTAACCCAATCTATCAATCAATAAGAAACAACAAGAAGGTTAAAGTTAAAGTCGTCAGGACAACCAATCAAAATAAACATGGAGACAGTGACAAGACCTTGGTAGGAACAACCAATCATACACAAGGCCATCAGGACAAGCTACTAAGTAAATTGTGGAGAAATCCCTTTGTCATTCACATTTTTCTGAAGTTTGTATTCATGATATTGTCTAGAATGACAACGAAAGCTCCATGATTAAGTATTTCAGCTTGAAGAATACCATATCATCAAAATTATCCCTCTGAGCTACAAATATTCTCCATCGAATATCATTTTGCCATCTTAGAGCCGTGGTTCGGCAAACTAGTATTTATACTGGGCGGTGGTTAAAGGTAAGACGAAAATTAGGACCGCGGCGGGATTCGAACCAGCCACCACCGTGTTTCCAGAATCGAGTATAACAGCAATTCAGTTGAAGATAATTAACTATTCAAATGAATTTACGACATATGTTATGCATACTAATTTATCGTTTTCCCCGTCGCACAATGTTAGCTAAAGTCGGTTCAGGCTGGAAGAAGGGCTGCAAGTGGACAGACTGATACATTTCATCACTGCCTGAAGTCCTTGATTGTTGGTTTGAACCATGTAGGACGATACAGAATAGCTGGATGATGTCTGTGGAACAAGAAAACCCAGTAGTTGGAGATTCTAGGTGATATGGCTTCAAATTGATGTGTCACTTGCTCAGATGTGTACATACTCTTCATCTTAATTGCTATACTGAATGTAGCATTTTTCTCTTTCCACAAAAACTTGGACCTTAATGCAGTAATGCCTGGTCCTATGTGGATAGTGTTGTGATTGATTGGATATACGTCTAGAAGGTGAAAATGAACCATATATTCACTTCAATGAAGAGATCTATATGTGAATAAGACCTACATACTATGAGTAGAAGTCGTAAATGAAATGCAGAGTATTGTTCATGTAAAATCCAGATACACGACAAAGATAGTCTAATAAAAACTATAGATTAAATTGTACAAATAAATAGAGATCCAATAAAACTTAAACTACAAGGAAGTATACGAAGTGAAGAAGAAAAGAAGATTCTGTGTTGAAGTGATTGACAGAATGATAAGAGATGCGATTAAGCTGCTAACATAAGATATTTAGACTGGATACGTATAGCAACTGTTCTCCTGTGGAACCTTATCATTCACTGAACCGTGTGAATCATAATACAAAGACCGGCTTGTGGCTGTAAGGAAGGTGATTAAAAAAAAAGAAATAAAAAACGATATATGTTCAGTTTTTCTCAATCTGAGATCTCTAGGTTACAAGTTGGATACTTATTGTGTTTGGTCAGCTGAAGGACAAAAATGTCCAATAAGGTTTCTCCTTGACCACACAGTAACGAAATAAAGGTTGGAATTTAAAACGTTTACTTTAGCAGCTGATGACATGTGATGCAGGATGTATGTTTCATCCTATTTGAGAGTCGTTAGCTAAATCTACCTGTATTCTGGTGAGTAATGGTATTTCCATTGAAACAGGAACCCCACCAGTCATCTCTCCACATGTCGGCCGTTATCCACTTGGTTAAAGAGTCATCACAAACACGTTTTATTGGAACTTATAGTTTCCCGTTAATACCTGTTACACAAATGGTAGTTGTGGTGAATTAATACCCCTGGCACCTGAAGTAATGGTTCCTAGGTTGGAGTCTGAGTGGCAGATGATATCATTGTGTGAACTGCAGGTGAATCTAGCTGATAAGTTTTAAGTAGAATGAAATATATGGTTTGTATCTCACCACTGGTCGTAACTGATCAAGATGATCACATTGTACCAAGCTCCATTTGGAAATGGATTGTCCAAGATGAACAACGGAACCTTCCAGAATGTCTCATTAAAAATCGGTGCTGATAGATCAATATCTCCATCTTACAACATTTCAATTGAAAATGGTAACCCATTTCCAGAAGATTGATTTCTTGTTGTCTACAGAATTCACAGAAGTGTCATTCATCTACTCACACAGCAGCGTTACAGTTCATAGGTCGTGTAGACTTAGTTATCTGATGCCTTTAATATATATATATTATGCAAAGTTATCGTTTTTTGCACCCATTACTCATGACTCATTATTGATGGTCATCCTAACAACTAGTGACATAACCTGTTACGTTTCTGAATTTTATGGAAAAAATTACTTACTTGAATTTGATTAGTTATTTCAGGAGAAGGAGGATGGTCTTTAGAATCACTCCTACTTTCTAGGTCAAGAAGTTTTTGAATACGTAGGAAAGTAGTCATCGAGATGATAAACTGAAGTATTCAAATAGTGGAAGCTTTCATCATCTTTCTCCTGGACGACATCATCAGCACTAACTTCAGTATAAAGTGATCTGTCAATATCTCTCCATGAGTGATTTATTAGTTTGCCCTCATGAACTGGTTTATGATTGGTTGTTTCCTTTGATTGTTATGGCCTGGTCTGACTGCATAGATTTTCTTGTTGACTTATTCCTCTGTTTGACCTCTGACCTTTCTGTCGTTTGCCATTTTTCTTATTGGTTGATAGATTGGGTCAATGTTATACTTTTTTTGATTGCTGACTGACTGACCTGATTACCAAGCTTCTAGGAATTTTCTTGATATTCTTTGAGCTGATGATACCGTCTAGAAAGATGATGTTAGCTCCACGATTAAACAACCCAGCTTAGATAATACAATCCAACCAAGAAATGAAGTATGTTGGGATGATTACGTCGTCTCATTTGATTACTGTTCAGTATCTTGATATACAAACAGGCACATTTATATGTATTTGTATTTACATTTATTTCTACAGATACTCTCTATACACGTCCTAATAATATTGTGAAAACTCCATCAGATATGCCGACTATGTCATTATCGAAATGTACAAAATGGCCGTCCACCAATAAAACGTTATGTAAAGGAATAATCAACAATTCTAGTGTACTCTTAGTGCTATGTGTTCTACTATTGGCTTACGCTTGCTTCTTTACGCTGTTTGCCTGAATAATAGTAGCGTCAGTAGTAGTGGTAGTATTAGTGGTGGTGATCACCTTGCCTATTCTCTTCTCTTGATCTATTCATACACACACACAGGCACAAATAGTAAGAGAATCGCAGTTACATAAGGCTAAACTGTTATTGCAGATGTTGCTGTCTGTTCATTTATTTATTCGTCTGCTTGATTTTTACTTCTGTTTGCCTCTTTGCACTCTTCTCTGTATCTAAAGATGATGCTATCGGTATCGTTCTCCCTTTTTATGTACGCTGCTTTCTATAGACTGCTGGAAGTGTATAGGCACAGTTTTGCTCAATGATAAAATCATATTTAAGGATATGCTGTCCAATATCTTTGCAATACACTTGTTATGTGATGAGCAATATATGATAAATAATAATGATAGTAATCATAGTCTGCCAAACCACAGCAACTATCCCAGATAGTCGAAATGATAATATGGTACCCCTCCTCTCTAAGTCAGTTAGATTTGGATTGCGATTAAAAGTCCTCACTGCGGGCAGCTAGTGTGAATATAATCAAGGGGTAGTAACACATCACGAATTCACTTGGTAGTCGTCGGGAGAAATCATGCCTTATGATTGAAGTGAAATCAATAAAAATCTGTCTAGCAGTCAGACTTCATACCTCCGTTACTAGATCATCGAGTCGAAAAATTGGTGGTCGGTGGTTCGAATCTGGCCGTGGTTCAAATTTTCAATTCACCATCAATCATCACGCAGTATCAATAATCGTAGTAATAGTGGTAGTATGAGCTTTGATGATTTAAATAACGTAATCAGAAGACGTAGATTATCTCAACAATGTAATGTTTTCGAGCTATACATTTCGAACAATCTGATCCCCTGAACATTTACTTGTTAAGGCAATTTTATATGAAAACTGGAATTGGGGGAAAAGACAGATATGACATACAGGAATTCAATAATAAGGAAGATAATGAAAGGAAAATAAAATGATAAGATTTGAAGACAACCTTGAATAATACGATAAAATAAACGTTACCAGGGTAGGCTTAGCATAAGGACAAACTGGTTTTACGCGCACACACACACACACACAGTGGAATGTGTTTAACTTTTGTTTGTGGTTAACACTTAAATAAACCCAAGTATACGCCTCACTTTGACAGTTTCTATACAAAATTTTAAAGGCTGTTTTATTATCAATCCTGTGATGTTTATCAATAATGTGTGTTCTGCAGTCGATGATGATGAGGGTTGTCTACCACCTGCTCTTATCGATGTTCGTGAATCCAGCTGCTTTCGTAGCCATTTCGGTACACGTTCTCCTGCTCTCAAGTGCATATCACGATTAGTCCCCTTATGTATGTTTGTTCATACATACATACACACACACACACATTTGAATTTATAAACGCATTGGGGTGTGACATAATCGTTTTTACACCGTTGAGGTCTATGTTGCAACAGGTATTTGGTCTCCTGAACTACGATATGCTTAACTGCATAGTATGTTTTGCCAACAGCAGACCGTAACTGTTGTTTGAATATTATACTATAAGACTCTCTTCCGTATGGTAACATGGTATAAACGCATTTCTTCGAAACAAATACAGACTAAGTTTCAATCCTGATTGATTTTTGCACTACATTGTTGAGATAATCTACGTCTTCTAGTTACGTTAACAAATTCGTTAAATGGATCAGTTCTTTCAAATTTTATTGATTTAGGTTTTTTCGTACTGCTGTCGTGATACAATTTAGCGGTCAGAAGCAATCGATAGAAAGGCGTGCTCTGCTTTGAGCTTCATCGTTGTTGGCGCTTATAAGCGGTACTTTTCTGTAACTATAGGTGAACTGATATCCCATGTGAGAGATTCAACTTCCTTACGCATCACCGTTCAGTAGAATCACTTGCGTACCGGATGGCAATAATCAAATAACTTAGATCGGAATGCGGATGTCCGCCGACTGCCTGCAGTCAGCTTGACACCAACCAAAGTTTACTGTGGAGTTGATGCCTTCTTCACTGAAATAATAAGCATAATTTGTTGCAATCATTTGAATAGATTGTATGTTCTGCTTTGAGAAGAACGTTTTTTAGCCTTGGGGGGCTGGGATCGTGTTTCATGGGCTATATCGTTGGCATGTGGATTGAGCAGGCTGTGACTCTTCATCGAATGAGATGACTTGGACATGTGTTGCGCATGCCGTGTCGCTGCATATCTCGACATGCCACATGAAGGCAAGTTGGTTTAGGTTGTAAGACGGTTCAAGGTGTGGTCGGACTAATAGGTGGCGCCAGTAGATAAATATGGATTTCACTTTAGAGTGTAGTATTCATCATGGACTGAGATTAGTCGGGTGTTTGATGAGATGTGAGTGTATATGTTTGATACTAACGGTGGGTGGGGGCTAGCAGTGGAATCCAAGACGGTGCGTTTCTTCCCATTTGGGACTCATCAGCTAGATATACTTGCCTCTCAGTGAATAATGTTGTTCCCACTAAGGAGACGAATCCGTGACCGGTCGCTTCAAACGTCAGTGTGCCATCCACTAGGTCAACGAGTCACGATAACCAGTTCTTGTGTGACGGGCGTAGTTTATTGCGGGTATCTTCAGTTCTGATGGTTAGTGAGTACCATTTAGATTAAAGTAGGCATGTCTTTATTTTTGTTTTGCTTAGCTTGGATTTAAAGAGTTGAGGTTAATTCAGTTTATCGTTTATCCTGGGACTGTGATTATTCACTGATTAAGACAGTTGTGAACAGTTAGGTCGTGGTATCATCAACCTTCATACAATAGAAGGAGATCTCTTCATTTCCTTTTTTATTACCTAGAATGAAGATTCTACCTATCATTTTGACTATCTTAGATATCAGCCGTGATTTGGTAGACTAATGTTTATAGTGGGTTATGATGATTAAAGATGAAATGAAAATTTGGACTACGTCCGGATTCGATCCAGCGACCACCGAGTTTCTGGCATGGTGCTCTACCAACTAAGCTACTGTCTTCATTTCAATTCATTAACTTCATAAACATATGGAGAGTTTCATTTTTCAGATAGGTATTCATCACAGACTACTGATATCTTTTGAAGAATCATTGAAAACCATCTAGGAAGTAATGGACAGGTGTTTTGTTCTTGTATGGTACTGCTTTCAGCAGTATGCAACCACTACCTGACTAGAGAGCCGGGGGGGGGACTCAGGACCGTTTATGTCTCATGGTGGACGAGAGAACTGTTCACATATTCTCTTTTCCCTGTCATAACAATCAAACACTTTGACAATATTCTGTCTTTAATCATGCTTACTATTTGGCTTTCTAAACACAACATAATTCATTCTTCTCTTCTTTTCTTTACTATGCTATGATTCACGTAATTTTTTCTTTATACATTTTTGTATGAGTAGCGAATTGATTGGGCGCTTTTTTATTGCCAATTTCTTGTTGCTGTGATCTATGCTTAGTTGTTGAATATGTGTTTTGTAAGGTCTAGATTTGCTAACTAGTTGATTGTGTTTTTTTGCAATGTTTTCTGTATTTCTTCTGTAGATTAAATTTTGTAAAAAACGCTATGAACTTAATTAAATATTTTGTTGCCATATAATTAAGCGTGGATAGTTAAAGCTGGAGATGATAATAAAAAGCATACGAGACAGTCATATTTAACTATTCATTCCCTCACAACTAGGAGTATAGTATCATCAGAGTTGTTCCATCCGATCAAATAGAAGAACAAAGTGAATGTAGAACCTCACATAATAGTGTATACATTCGGTTTGCCACACTTCACAGTAATATACAAGGAACAAGTGAACAGAAAACGACTAATATTAAAGTGGACTAAGTTATGTGCGCCACTGTGACTGCTTTCCTGCCATGTTACCGCTTGTCTTCAACCACTAATTCTTATTATCTGGGGAGCTCCCAGGGAAGCAATCTACATCTTGCTACATATCTGGTTACTTCTCTTGATGTGGCTGCCCTAAACCCCCTTTCAGACTAATTCAACTTTCCAAGTAGAAGTAAGCGGTAACTTGGCATATACAGTACATGTTCAAGTCAATTCAGTCATTACAGGTTCACAATTTCGTCAACTGACTTGCCTATTTTACCTATACATTGCTTACATAGGGATTCCACCAAACGTGAGAAATACTGCGAAGATACCTGTGATAAAGAGCTTGTAACTGCTTTGTACTGTCTACTTTTGCCTATCATATCTCACAGTCGTATAACAGGAGAGAATCGACTGCAGCGTAGTATGCTCGCCTTTGAATAGGCAGTCGGATATCTCACTAGTTGGCACCACAGATCTTGAAGATTGTGGTTTCAAGTGTCGAAGTTATCGACAGAAACCCTAGTTCATCTCAACAGATAGTTTCACTAACTTTTAGCTGAATAAATGTTTATGATATTGATTATTGTGAAATGATGACTTTCTTTATCACATGTATTTATCCAATTGTATCGACAAAGTGGTAATTCTCTCACATTCTGACATGAAAGATAGTCTGCTAGGTAGGATGTTGTGAAGAGATTGTTGGTTTTTGACTACAGATACCTCTGCAATACTCCTCGTGTATGATTGAATCACTGTGACAAATATCAAGGTTAAACGAAGGATCCTAAGTAAGACGGGCAAGTCGATTGAAGAGGTTGCTCATGCCAAGCCACCACCTATCTGGATGTGCCATATTCGTGGAAGTTGGATTAGGTCGTAAGACGGTTCAAGGTGTGGCCGGACTAATTTTTGGCGCCATTAGATGAAGTCGCTGACTGTTGGTCTTAGCCGTGTTTTGAGATGTAGACTATCTGACTGGAGTCCCCAAGACAGTGGGAATCAGTAGTTGATGGCTTCTGGTGAAAAGGCTGAAAATCGGTCACAGTAGCAAAGATGTATTAACCTTTATCTTCAAATTGTTTTGTATCTCTCTCACAGAATTTTGTCTACCTTGATATGCGTCTTTTTGTATCCACGGGTTCCTTGTGTACTACTGTGAAGTGTGGTAACTTGGAGTGATGAACTTGTGTGTGTGTGTGTGTGTATGTGTGTGAGAGGTTCTCCGTTAATTCTATCTGGTTATATTGTGAAGGGTTGAAGTTAAATTCCTTGTATTTTTTGGTTCGTAAGTGATCGATATATTTCACATCACCAAATTATTTGCATGAAGTGAACTGACAGAAGTTGGGAATATAGACTGTTGGATTGCGACGCAGTGACTGAATGTTAACGTGCTGACGATGGAGCCTGAAGGTGGTGAGTTGTATACCTGGTGGTGCTTGGTGGGGGTCATGGGTGTAGACTGCTGAGGAGTCCCGTAGTATAGGACGGGACCGCTGGGTGTACAGTGCTGCCAGGTTTCCAATACTCCTCCACCTGATGTCAGTCGGTGATAAGTAGCAACTTGAAGAATCACTGTGTGCCTGTCACATAAATGCTTCCTTGGATGTTTGTATCGATTTCCTGTACTTATTGTATGTTATATAATTAGTTTTCTGTGTGAATGAGAAGGACCGCAGTTGCCTACGCTAAAGTCTTATTTTTAGTCGCAGCAATCAAGTATTTGTTTGTTTGGAGGTTATATTTCATTTCAGAAACACGTCTACTACCTTAATTCCTGAGTAACCAGATAATTTTTTTTGCCTATATGAGAGTAGTAGTGAGCTGAGTAGTTAAGTGGGTTTCAACAAATAGCTATAGAGTCTCGACTCACTGACTGAGCTGCAGTTTCTCCATGTTTTCAGATCTGCTATACATATGTCTGCCAACTAATACGTAACTTCAAGTCCAACGAGGCTTTTGATTTAATATCACCTAACATCTGAACAGTGTACATAATTTTTATTTCATTGTATTTATAGGTGCAACTTCTCAACTGGATCTGTCTACGCAACTAATGAATGAACGACCACCTCTCGGTATGTATAATCGCGATGATTCTGGTAAATCGAAAGCTTCCGTTAATTCAGTTTTGGATGATCAAGGTGAGTTTATCTTTACTTGAAATTACCTTTTTCGTACTAATGTGCGTCATAAGCGATTATGTATATAATAACTGAAGTTGTGAGTAAGTCAGTAAAACTAACTGAAAATTCCCACTTTCCATGTGGGATTCTTATAAGTATAGATGGAAGAAATGCGAAGCTGACGCGTCTCAGAGACTCTCCAGGGAATAATATTGTTCGGTTGAATCGTTGAGGTAACATTTCTGACCTATGGAGTCGAGTACGAAGCAGCAGATAGACAGACAGAGTCAGCGTAAAACCTCATACACAGGTGCATCGGCTGAAGTTGCCACACTCCAAAATAGTTTCAGAAGAAGAGGTGGATAGAAACAAACTGATATCAAAGTAGATCAAGTTATGTGAGAGAATAAGCAATCTGAAGATAACTGTTATTGCAAGTATTCAACGTTTAGAAGGTGTCCAGGAGTTCTTACATCTACGCCATTTTGACCGATTTTCAGCCGTGTCCCTCACCACTAATCCTTATCGTTTTAGGGACCCCGACCAGGCAGTCCACATGACCCAGCATGACACAGACCAACAGTCAGGCATTTCATTGACTGGTGCTCCATCTTAGTCTGGCTACTCTGAATCTTCTTGCAGTCTGATTCAGCCTCCTCCTAGCATGGCACGTCGAGATTGTTGGCGATATGGTATGCATAGCACATATCGGAACCATATCAGTCGACTAAGGTTCACAACCTTGGCAGTTGACTTGTTTTGTTATTTGTCGCTCTTCTGTTCTCAACATTGTTCACACAATGACCACTAAAAACAAGCAAACCTTAGAAGACATTGACATTTACGACGTATGCCGTGGTGTCATGGTGTTCTGTGAAGTAACAGTGCAAAATGAGAGACATCTCAGGGTAACCGAATTGGGGTATGATTGGATTGTTGTTATCATTATCTTTTTGTTGGAAGACGACAGACTCTTTGAATGAAATGATTTTCGGCGATTTTTCTTAAAATCTTTCACTTTACTGGAAGTCAACAATATCCTTTTTTTTCGTTCGTATCATTTCATATATGTATGATCTTTCATGCTCTATTTCCCCTGCGCATTTCTCCTAGTCTCTTTTTTCCCGTTGAAGTTACTCAACTTCATCCAATTTTTCTTTGTGTCTGACATCCTTCTGTAGTGGTGCAAAGTACGACATCTTTTACCGGTAAAAAATTTAACTGGGCTGTGTATTTAAATTGGAGGTTTGTAGGGAGTTTTTGATTTCAAGTTGGTTGAACATGAGTACAGTTACTTAACGACGGCGTTGGATGGAGGTCACGCTAAGTCGTGAACTGACTGAAGTAGGAAATATGAACCATTGAATTCCGACTTAGTGGGTCAATGGTAATGTGCTGGCCACGGAACCGGAAGGTCCTGTATCCGAGGCGAAGTCATGAGTGCTCACTGCTGAGGAGTCCCATACTAGGACGAAACAGCTGTACAGTGCTCCCAGGTTTCTAATGTCTCTCCAACTAGTTCCTGTGTTATTTATCTCTCTCCATCTCTCTTTGTCGATGTATGAACTCATTTAGAAGTAGTGAAAACGTGTTCTAGTCTAATACTTTTACTGAAGGTTTATCTACCATTTGCGTAAATCGTGACAAATACCTATTGATAAAAGTGTTAAACTTGGGCATTGTGGTTGTATGGGAACATTCCATATTCGATTTGTTTATTTTATATAGCCAGCACACAACGAGTGATACACTATTATTTCCTTGATGTCGTTCCGATCATAAATTATGCCTCATACTCACATCAATGTATAATCCTACAACTTTCGACATCTGATTTTTATAGTCCCATCACTTTATATTCTTTGTTTTAAGTAGCAGTAAGATTTTTCATATCTGTGGTATACGTGTTGCCTCATTCTTGTTATATGTGTTGGGTGTTGATTCAGTGAACAAAGATTCAGTAGTCTTTCTCTCTACCTGACTATATTGGATTTGTGCAATGGTTTTAACTCACCCTAGATTATGTGGTTGGGTGTGAATGTATGCATTGGATAACTGAGCCGAGTTCTTTTCCAGACTACTGTTCCCATTAGTGCCTGCAAAGCTTATCTCTGAGTGAGTTTGTATTTTTGAAGGCCACCTTAATTCCAGATTTGTTGACGATCCTACAGAAAGTTTCTGATGTTCCTTCCTCATAGGGTAACGCAATGGAGGTTGTGAACGCCTTTTTTTTCGTGTTGTATTCGTATTCGTTTCTTATGTTTTCGAAGGGATTTCTTAATAAACTATAGGGGATTTTTTTTATTAATTATCAACGTTTCTTTTGTGTCTCAGTTCTTTGTTAAGGTTATCGCACTGATTAAGTGAGTTTTCTAGCTCCACCTTAATTGACATTATATCCGGTGACTTGAAGTCTAGATACCTGTTGGAATGTGTCGGTTTCCCTGTAGACGATAGTATTCAAACCATTATCTGTCCTTTGTTTTGCTGTGCAATTCAACATAGGTAATTCTCCTTATTCATTTTCTGCCTCTTCGTCAGTGAACTACATCGTTGAGGGTCCATCAGAGCAGTTGGATAACGCATGGATTGCCTTCGTTTGTACAGAAGATTGTCATTTAGTTCATTATACCTTCTAGTGATTGTATTTAACAGTTTCATAAGCAGTGACTAACACTCTATCACGGTCTAGGCATTTGGTTAGTAGGGTATGATGTTATTCCTAATGCCTACAGACATTGACATTTACGACGTATGCCGTGGTGTCATGGTGTTCTGTGAAGTAACAGTGCAAAATGAGAGACATCTCAGGGTAACCGAATTGGGGTATGATTGGATTGTTGTTATCATTATCTTTTTGTTGGAAGACGACAGACTCTTTGAATGAAATGATTTTCGGCGATTTTTCTTAAAATCTTTCACTTTACTGTAAGTCAACAATATCCTTTTTTTTCGTTCGTATCATTTCATATATGTATGATCTTTCATGCTCTATTTCCCCTGCGCATTTCTCCTAGTCTCTTTTTTCCCGTTGAAGTTACTCAACTTCATCCAATTTTTCTTTGTGTCTGACATCCTTCTGTAGTGGTGCAAAGTACGACATCTTTTACCGGTAAAAAATTTAACTGGGCTGTGTATTTAAATTGGAGGTTTGTAGGGAGTTTTTGATTTCAAGTTGGTTGAACATGAGTACAGTTACTTAACGACGGCGTTGGATGGAGGTCACGCTAAGTCGTGAACTGACTGAAGTAGGAAATATGAACCATTGAATTCCGACTTAGTGGGTCAATGGTAATGTGCTGGCCACGGAACCGGAAGGTCCTGTATCCGAGGCGAAGTCATGAGTGCTCACTGCTGAGGAGTCCCATACTAGGACGAAACAGCTGTACAGTGCTCCCAGGTTTCTAATGTCTCTCCAACTAGTTCCTGTGTTATTTATCTCTCTCCATCTCTCTTTGTCGATGTATGAACTCATTTAGAAGTAGTGAAAACGTGTTCTAGTCTAATACTTTTACTGAAGGTTTATCTACCATTTGCGTAAATCGTGACAAATACCTATTGATAAAAGTGTTAAACTTGGGCATTGTGGTTGTATGGGAACATTCCATATTCGATTTGTTTATTTTATATAGCCAGCACACAACGAGTGATACACTATTATTTCCTTGATGTCGTTCCGATCATAAATTATGCCTCATACTCACATCAATGTATAATCCTACAACTTTCGACATCTGATTTTTATAGTCCCATCACTTTATATTCTTTGTTTTAAGTAGCAGTAAGATTTTTCATATCTGTGGTATACGTGTTGCCTCATTCTTGTTATATGTGTTGGGTGTTGATTCAGTGAACAAAGATTCAGTAGTCTTTCTCTCTACCTGACTATATTGGATTTGTGCAATGGTTTTAACTCACCCTAGATTATGTGGTTGGGTGTGAATGTATGCATTGGATAACTGAGCCGAGTTCTTTTCCAGACTACTGTTCCCATTAGTGCCTGCAAAGCTTATCTCTGAGTGAGTTTGTATTTTTGAAGGCCACCTTAATTCCAGATTTGTTGACGATCCTACAGAAAGTTTCTGATGTTCCTTCCTCATAGGGTAACGCAATGGAGGTTGTGAACGCCTTTTTTTTCGTGTTGTATTCGTATTCGTTTCTTATGTTTTCGAAGGGATTTCTTAATAAACTATAGGGGATTTTTTTTATTAATTATCAACGTTTCTTTTGTGTCTCAGTTCTTTGTTAAGGTTATCGCACTGATTAAGTGAGTTTTCTAGCTCCACCTTAATTGACATTATATCCGGTGACTTGAAGTCTAGATACCTGTTGGAATGTGTCGGTTTCCCTGTAGACGATAGTATTCAAACCATTATCTGTCCTTTGTTTTGCTGTGCAATTCAACATAGGTAATTCTCCTTATTCATTTTCTGCCTCTTCGTCAGTGAACTACATCGTTGAGGGTCCATCAGAGCAGTTGGATAACGCATGGATTGCCTTCGTTTGTACAGAAGATTGTCATTTAGTTCATTATACCTTCTAGTGATTGTATTTAACAGTTTCATAAGCAGTGACTAACACTCTATCACGGTCTAGGCATTTGGTTAGTAGGGTATGATGTTATTCCTAATGCCTACAGACATTGACATTTACGACGTATGCCGTGGTGTCATGGTGTTCTGTGAAGTAACAGTGCAAAATGAGAGACATCTCAGGGTAACCGAATTGGGGTATGATTGGATTGTTGTTATCATTATCTTTTTGTTGGAAGACGACAGACTCTTTGAATGAAATGATTTTCGGCGATTTTTCTTAAAATCTTTCACTTTACTGGAAGTCAACAATATCCTTTTTTTTCGTTCGTATCATTTCATATATGTATGATCTTTCATGCTCTATTTCCCCTGCGCATTTCTCCTAGTCTCTTTTTTCCCGTTGAAGTTACTCAACTTCATCCAATTTTTCTTTGTGTCTGACATCCTTCTGTAGTGGTGCAAAGTACGACATCTTTTACCGGT